CACCAAGATAGTGTTATGTTAACCTAGCTAAAACCACTCAAAAATGTAGGATAACTTTAAGAAGAAGAAATGTGTAGCAAAAACACAGCAATTTTTAAAGGTCTCCATCACATCAATAATAGATAAGCACCTGAATTGGCTAAGAACCACTACTTAGACCAGAGCCTCGAATGTGGTGGGTGGTCAAAGCTGAAATGAATGCATAAGCATCATGCAGCACATTTGCAGGGTTAGGGCAATATCTGCAAATTCAATTCAAATATATGCATTGAGTTCTAGGTGCTGAGACTGTGATAAGCAATGAAGATAAAATAAATAAGATAATGGTCAAAAGCTCTAGGAGAAGAACTTAGGTGAATTCCACACATAAATGTGGATTTTTAAGAGACTAGAGGTGTGGAGATTAAGGCTGCATAAACTCAAGAAAGCTCATGCTTTTCTTTGGACCCACAAAGACAGTTTGGGCTCAATCTGTGAGGAGCCCAGGCAGTATTCCACAATGTGGGATTTGTGCTACCTAGTAAGATCCAGAAATGAATGCAATCATTATGTAACAGGTAGTAATAAAAATTTAAAAAAATTTTTAAAAGAAAATCTAAAAAATTAATAATGGTAAATTCATTCATACCAGTCAATTAAATTTGAGGCAGATGAAAAGCACTGACTCTCACTTTTCTCATGCCAGCTAGAAGGGGGAGATGGTGTGGCTGGTTACTGTCACACTCCGGACCCTCACTTCCCTTCGGCTACCCTTGTATCCCAAGGACTGGGACATTTGCTTCAGTGTCTTTCCTGGTATCAAACTGCCATTCTCCACTCCAATGTAAGGGTAGCTAGACAGGCAGGGTGGTGCTCCTCACTTCAAAAGATACTGTTGCTTTTTTGAAGAAGGGAGAGGGCACCCTTGAGTGGCTAAGATCAGGGAGGGAGGAATCTGGGTTCCTTATTTGCATACCCAACATTCATAGCAAGCTTTAAGCCCTAGCCCTCACTGAAACAGGCCTGCAAGCTACTACATAAGCAGCACTTCCCACCCACTTCTTGGGCTTTAGTTTAGGAGGGCTCCCTCTTGTGTAGTACAACCCATGGCCCTGTTAAAGTCTTGCTTTGGTGTTCTTGTTAAACCTGCTTCTGATTTATTTCTCAGGTAACATGGGCTCCAAAAGTCCTTTCAATCTACTTTGGATTTTTACCCTGAGTAGTGTAGACAGAGCAGTCTTTTCTAAAGAAAGGCAAATGAATACTGAGCTGTAAACACTGAAGAACTCCAGAGATCAGCAGCTAACAAAGACAAATGGCAGAGACCAGCACCCAGCAGAATTGACCTATGGTGTCCAGCAATCAAGCAAAAGAACCCTAGACTGGCAACAAATTCATGTAAGTTTAAAACAGAGAAGGCATGCTTGACCAAAAGAGATTCAAGTTACTCATTCAGATATTCTTATGTACATTAGAAAGGTTGTTTTACTATTTAAAGGCAATAAGATATAGAGAAGTGGTAATGAATCTCAAACAAAAGGGCCCTGAAATAATTTGGTTTTAGTATTCATTAATTGTATTTTTGTTCCAAATTTCCATCAAATAAGTGGTTTAAAATATTAGGTGCTAAATTCCATGTGTAATTTTCATAATAGTTCAGGCAAAACTGGTTTTGTAGAAAATATTTACTTTACTAATAAAAAAGCTGGAAAGTATAACTTGATTTGCAGAAATATAAGATAAAATTCTAAGAATGTATGTCTTATGTTTTTGTTAGGAGGAAAAAAGACCTCTATATGGGATAAAACCATGGAAAGAATAATCACTGTTCCACTTCCTGCCATGACATTGCTATAGGAAATCAGCAAGTTATAGGGTTGTATCAGTTCAGGTTATAGAGAAGAGGAACAGCTGACCTGCACTGCCATTGCTTAAGCAGCTACATGAGGAACAAAGGAAAAACAAATAGTGATGTCTACAACCATAAACAACTTAGAAGGTCCTAGACAGTCCATGAGGAAACACAGCACCCCAGAAAGTTCAGGAGGGTGAGCTCCTCAGTCACCACGGCACCGACAGTATGACTCAGTCAAGTATGTGACTTGGTCATGCGTGTGTCTCAGTTTAAGTCCATCTACACTTCTCCTAAGGCAGTGAACAAAGTGCTTTAAAGTACACACTCTGTAGTACTCCCTACTGGGCTCAAATCCAGGTCCTGCCTCTAAGACACCCAGGGAAGTGAGTCCTGATTGGGCCACACTGTCATTGTCCAATACAGTACATACCTACTTGGTAATGCTGTTCAGGTGACTGCCTCACAGACCGCGGGACAAGCTAGATAATTCCTTTGTGGGGACACAAATCCTTGATCTAATTTGTCACATGATGGAAAATGCCAGTCTGAATCTAAGTTCCTACTGTACCTACCATTCCCAGAAGGTGGCAGCAAGCAAGCCAAGCACTCTGCGGCTCCTGAGCTGCCACCTGCCTCTCCGAGAGTGCCAAACCCAAGAGTTAGCTGATAAAGGAACTGAATTAGCTATATAGTGTGTATATATATTTATATAATATATAATAACATATGGACTAATTACCTGTAATACTATATAACAGTGATGGCAAACCTTTTAAAGATGAGTGCCCAAACTGCAACCCCAAACCCACTTATTTACCACAAAGTGCCAATACTGCAATTGAACCTGAATACTGAGGTTTTAGTTTAGAAAAAAAAAAAACCTCATACATTAAGAGCTTTTGTCTTAAAACAAAAACAACTAACATGTATGCCATATATCGCCACCACTGGTGTATAGTATATATGAATAATAAATAATAGGTAGCATTATGAGTAATAATGTGACATACATATAATATATATAATATATAATTATACTACATAATAAACAAGAAATTAACTAAGCAATATAAAATGAATTTAAGTATAAATTTAGAAAGAAATAGGTGGTCTATTTTTTATTCAGACTATGGCCAGGCCACATTATAATTTATTCTATGAAAAAAATCTATTATTTCTAAACAGACTCTATTTATTCATAATCTTACATTTACCATCACTGGCATCTTTATATTGTTTCACTTTTCATTTCATTTTTTACATGCAAATACTCCATTCTAACAATTCAAGTTAGGAGATGCCACATGATTAGTTATGACTACCCAAGAGTAAAAATTCATTAAAAATGCTTTTCATGAAAAATGTCAAGCATCAGAAATAATAATACAATAACCCCATGTACTCACCTAGCATCAGCAACTGTCAATATTTAGTTCTTTTTCATCTATTCTTTCCTCCTTTTTGCCGAAACATGAAATTCTCATGTACAAAAGAACATAAAACTATTAAAAGTCTGGTATGTTTCTCTAGTGTACAAATTTTCTTCATAGCACACACTTCTCTGTTTTCAAAGCCATGACCCAAATTCTTTTGATGGTCATAGAAATAAATGATTCTTAACAAGATGTCAACTAGAATAATCTCTGTTATGGATCTTAAAATGCCTCTAAAAGGCCCATGTGCTGAAGGATTGGTTGCTGGCCCATGGCACTGTTAAAAAATGGTGGAACCTTTAAGAGGTGGGGCCTAGAGGGAGGAAGTTAGGTCACTGGATGTGTCCTCAAGGGGATATTGGGACCTTCCCCCCTCCCCTTTCTTCTGCTCTTTGCTTTCCCTTTTTTCCACTCTTCACTTCCTGGTTGTCATGAGATTTGCTTTACCATGTACCCCCCACTGCCATGATATTCTGCCTCACCTCAGGCCCCAAAACAACAGAGCCAGGTGATCATGGCTCTCTGACTCATGACAGTAATTTCTGAAGCAGTAAGCCAAAATAAATCTTTCCTTCTTAAAAACTGTTTATCTCAGGTGTTTTGTCACACTGACTGAAAGCCTACTAACACAATCTCTTTATTTTCCCTGCTTCCAAACAAAAAATTGGTAATTTAAAACCACAGGCTTTAGAGATTCTACACATCTGCTTCAGCCAGCCTGTGAACTCCCAGAAAACATACGCAAATATTTTTACCACTTGTTTATAACATAAGGTATTCTAGACCTATCATATTCTTAGGGGGGTTTATTCCCTACAAAAGGTTGAGAACCTCTGCCACTATTATATCTTGAAGTTGCATCAAACATTCTTTCTCACTCCCGCCCCTTAAACAATCTTTGTATCAAAATCCTGCACCAGTTCCGATCTCCAGGATACGTTCCATGGTCACCTCAGTTGTAACTGATTTTCCTCATGTTTTCCTCCAAAATGTAAACCAGACCACTTTCTGCTTAGATTTCATCCACTAATTCAGAGGGTATTTACTAGGTACCTACTATGTTCCAGGCACTATACCGTTTGGGTGTGCTTTATCTCGCACTGTTAGAATATCACAGTAGCTATCACTTACCCCGTGTATGTAGGCACAGCTACTTTGAATGGAAACAAAAATGAACAGCATTTCCATGAGCTGATATTCAGCTCCAGAAGACTATGTAAAGCCAGGCTCATGAAAAAATGCCCCCCCTTTTAAATGTTTAGTTATCCTTGGCATGGTGACAATAGATATCCAAGCCAAAAATTCACTTACCACACCTCAATACACTGTGACAGTAGAAAACTGTTCCAGAATCAGAAACTATGTACTGATCTCTGCCAGCACTTTAATTTTGCCATTGTCTACGTGAGACATACAACAGAGTCTCCGTATCCAGTACAACAGCTCATCATGAAGCACCCCCCCATGGACCAGGAACATCAACCTCAGACACAAAGGGCAGCAAACTGGTGTGCTAATATTGGGAATATGAAAAGTTTACAGATCCCCGATGAAAACGGAATTGTTTACTAAAGGAGTTGGAAGCTCTTAGCTAAAGATCTGGCAAAAAGTAGCTAACTCTATTACCACAGATGGGGGAGGGGGGGCTGAGTCCTATACTAGGCAAAAACTTCTAAATTCCATCTGCCCTCCCACAAATGCGACTTTGATCCTTAACTTTGAAGCAAGATGTTTTAGTGGAAAGATCTGAGTATCTATGCAGGGGCACCCTAGACTAGGACCCTCTGGTCTTCTTTATCCCATACACCCCAAGGGCTGCAACTATCAAAAGAGAAAACGCGCTAAAGCGTCCTGTTGTTTTCATCTCAGGTGCTGCGTTGCTGTGTTTTGATCAGGTGTACCTGCCCCCTAGTCCTCTCCCACCTAGGACGGGCCATGCCTGGAGGGACAGAGGAGAAGGACGAGGGGAGGAGGCACGAAGGTCACCGCGATTCCGAGATCAGGAGGACGCAAACAAGCCGCGCTTCCCTGGCACGTTCGGGCGGGGCGTTCACAGGGCACCGGGCAGGGAGGCGGCACATCCTGGGCTCCGCTCCTCGACCGCCACCCACCGAGTGTGCCCGCCTTCCCGGCCCGGAGGAGCCAAGGACCTCGGCTCCCGGACAGTGGGAGCCCGAACGCCGCCTCCTGAGAGGTGAGGGAGGGGTGGGGAGGCTGGGATGGACAGGGAGGCGGGCTCGCGCGTCGCCCGGAGTCCCCCGAGCTCTGGGAGCTGCGGGGCTGGGACTCGGGCCGCGGCGGCACCGGGAGCTTGCGCAAGACCCCGGGCGAGGCCGGGCGCGGGCGGCCTCCGGGCCTCGCTGCAACTTCTCGGCCCAAACCCCACGCTTGGGCGCGCGCACTCGCCCGCAGCCCCGCGCGCCCCCGCAGCCCGCGCACTCTCCCGCCC